ACATTTAGCGAAAATTTGTTTGACTACCTCGTCTAGGTGAGTTGTGAGGAAAAAAATATGTTGAGTGATTGGGGCAATAAATCATCGGGAGGAAATGCAACACATTTAAAAACGACGTCAGCCCATTCATAATGGTGAAGAATTACCTGTCACTGGTGCTCTGAATACATGGAAAATTGATGCTTCAAGAAAGTTTAACAAATCCAAATCCTCAGTACTGAAAACTGAGTGAGTGGCACACGCTGGGCCTCAACACAATCAAAATTGGGGGACAAAGAGGGGAAGGAGATGCTTCAGTGACCGTCCTCTGAGCGACCCTGTCACTTCCCCTCCCTCCGTCGCCCTCCTCCTCCTCCTCTCCAACACTCCAATGACTGGGAAAGATTATTTGCTTTAGTAGACGAAATAGTTTGATGAACTTCATAGCCGCACTAGTCCCTGACAAAGTAAAAGTCAACCAAAAGGTGCATTTAAATGATTTAATTTTTTTTGAAAATGCAATGAAGTTTGGAAAGCCTTTTCTAAGGAGGTGGGTCTAGAGTTAACGACAGCCTTCACTCTGTTGATGACACCTTTGCTGTAGAGCAAAGTAGTTGTCCAATGCTAAAGTGCTAAAATATTCAGTCACTTATTTGCTTTGTAGCAGCCCTTTTGTTCTCGTGTCGAAGATAACAACAGCCTGCACTCTGCTGCCAGCCTAAAATTGGTGAAAACAAATCCACATACAGCAGCAGGTCAAACTAAAGTCGGTTGTTTGTTTGCTCATATCTCATTTTACTTCTTGGCGGCTTTAATACCTCACTCAATGACCATGAAGTTTTATATCGCCCCACAAAGGGGTTTATCATTTTCCTCGGCTATAAGAGGACCAGCTTCAAAGGAGGCCTTCACTTGGACCGAGCCTGGCACAACTGGCTCTTGCACCTCCTCAGCACCCAAACTGCTCTGGCCCTTTTTTTTTTGTTAACTTTTTTAATTGTTGCCGCTGGCTTACTAATAAAGGGTTACCTTCAACCTTTTCAACAGTT